GAGAGCCAGCATTGAGGCTCTGATGCCAGCCTCAGATGCCAGCCTGGAATTTGAGGGTCAAGCTATATCCAGTAACTAGATTTAAGATCCACTGAGACCACTTTATGTAATACTCATTTTTGTAACAATGGAATGAGACAGAAAATAAATTCTGCAATTTAAATAATTAAATATTTTTTAAAAGTTTTAAAACCGACTTACAGGTGTTTTCAGGTTGCCGTTTCTCACACAGTTGCCATTCTGCACAGCAGACTCAGGCACAGTCTCATCATGGACAGCATGCACTCTGAAGTGTAATAAACATTTGAAGGGGTTGTTGAAGGGGTTAGCAATGAGAACACAGAACTACACACTTCAGAACAAACAACAGAAGAAAATAAAAGCATTTATATGTATTTTAGTATTTTTAATTAATTGTTTGGAAGTTATGGCATTTTGTTACTAAAAAACAAACAGCAAACTTTAAAAGTACAACAGAAATGTGGGCCTTTTTCAGACTATTGGCTTTCCTGTAAGATATCCGAAAAATTAGAAAACTAGGAAAACTATCAAAGATACCAAGGAAGTAGAAAGTAAGTAAATGAAACAGAAAGCTGATGTTGACTCAGTGCAGCCTTTGTTAACTTAAGAGCTTTGCACCATGAACCAATAACACAAGTATGCATTCATTCTGCAGGTGCTCTAAACAAAACAAGGCAGTAATATTTGATGGGTGTACAATTTAAAATGAGAGGAGGAATCTGGTTTATTTTGTCTATAAAACATGCTGAAGAAAAAACATAAGAAATTTCATTTGCAGGTCATTGCTAATACGATGGAGGAATAATTTTATAAAGAAAGATGCACCTTCTGGGAGATCTGAAGCCATACATTTATCTGCAATGAAATCATGCCACTTTTCATCATTCCCAATGCTAACAATGTGCTTTGCCAAAGGTCACATTTGAGTAGACGAGCTGGATCCCACTTGTGCAGCAGGTCCAGTGCTGGAAGCTGACTGCTATGGCCTCCTTTTAAACTACAGTGGCCAGGACATGAAGCCAGTTGACTTGTACTATAAGAAGGCACAAAAAGAAAGTAAATATGAGAGTATACAATTACTTTATTTTCATGATATTGTTGCAACAAGAGAGTGTGCTAACACAAGTGACCACTTTACAAAGGAAAAAACAGTGTATTACACTGTCAAATACAGTCAGCTCTCCAGTATCCAGTATTGGCTAATCCAGATGGAGAATTAACTGTGATATGGATGCTGAGCCAGCTCAACTCCAGCAAGGTTTATCAATGCCAGATAAGCATTCCTGTTGTTCTACTTCCCAAGACTGCTTTGCAAAGCAAATTCTGAGGCTGAATAGCATCAACGGCACGACCAAGGTCCTGATGTTATTTTGTCAGTGAGAGCAGACAGACGTTTTTATTTAAAAACGTCTCTGTTGACTTTTTTAATCTACTGAGACACTTCAAGAAGCAACGTAGAATTACGCTTCCAAAGGCTCCTATAAAAATTCTATATAAATATAAAATTACATAAAAATGTGCAAAATTTTTAAATACAATTATGTAAATGCTTACCTTCCCTACAGAGAAAAGTCCCATGAAAGTTAAATTCAATTAACCACTTCTCATAGAAAAGTTCAAAACATGCCACAATGTTTGACAAATGGAAGCAAAGAAAATAATTAAGGATGAACTAATCCTTACATCAGGACTTCTAGGCTGGACTTTTGCATGTGAAAAGTAGAACGAACTATAGTTCACAGCTGAGTCAGCATGATACAGGCAATCATTTGCAAAAGTTTTCAAGGGTCTTGATTTATAATTGTGAGCCACAGAAATTAAGTATCTCAAGTACTACCAGAGACTTCCTACCCGAAAAGAACCAGCAGCAAGAGATAGCAATATGTATTGCTTTTCTGATGCCAGTTTGCTCTTCCCAGATTCTTCTACAGACCACAAAACCAAAAAGAATCCAAACATGTTTGTCAAGTAAATGGTTTTCCTCTGTGATTAAATCCCTTCACTCTTGATTTCAAAGCAGAATGTAACACTACGGGGCTGGACTAACAAGTTCTGACTTGCACTGTTTCACTAGAACTACAACTCAGATGCAATCCAACATGGGTTACCTGTTTCTCCATTATACCTCAACATAACACTTAACACGCTTTCAAAAAGTTTTCCTGAATTGTTTACAAGTACTCTTTAGCAACCTACTCCATCCTGTAATGAAAAACGCATTGCATTTGATTACAGCAACTATGATTGAGTTCAAGTTGATTTAAAACATTTAACTAATTAAAAAATCAGAACTGCTGCAGGACAGTTCCATCAAGTACTTGTCTGATCACGTACTGGTTTTAGTACTTCCGTCTAGAACATACTTCTTTGAAGTTCTAACTCATTCATCTCTTTCCCAAGAACATCCTGAAAGATGGCACTGCAGACAATGTCTACTGGCCCTGTGCTACTTACTTTGTACCTCATGCAAGACAAAACGTACTTGTAGCAAAAGGGGCTCAACAAAGTGAGGGAATGTCTGGCATATGGAACAGCATGTTACCAAAGCTCAGCAAAACCTGCAAGAGTGAGAAGAACGCTGATCCACAGCTTCCTCATGTTGGGCTCACAATGCCAAATAAAACAATGTATCTGGGATGAAACCAGAATAACTGTCACACATGCAACTAAACACGTCTTAAACACTCAACAAATGTAAATAAACACTAAATATTAATACTAAAAAGCCATTTGGTTTCTGAACTGGTTTGGTTATCAGCACGCCACAGAACACAGCAATGCCCCAGGAAGAACTACAACAGACAACCTACGCTAAAGCAGAGGGTTTTTAAAATTCAAATACTATTAATACTCTTGCTTCTCTTTTCTCTTCTTTTTTTTTTTCCCTTTTAATACTGATGTTTCCAGTAAGGCTATTCATAAGGCAGGTACTTAAATATTTGCAGGAACTAGACCAACACCTAGAAACTGAATCCCATAAAAGCACTTAGCAATCAAATGAGATATTTAAATGGAGTTTTTATTTGCAAAACTAAATTTCTGTTGAAGAAACTGTTAAAAGAATTATGACATCACCTTATCCTCTTGAGCAAAATAGGAACTACTGTACCTAGTTGAGGAGGACATGGGGATCACTCCTGCAGCGATCCCTATCCATAACTCTATCTAACATCTTTTCAACTACAGGAGTGCAACAGTAGGTTTAACAAATTCTGAACTAGTTGGGCTTTTATTTCCTCCCCCTGTTATTCTACACCTGAGTATTTTTGCATACATAAATCCACTGCCTCAAGCACTGGAAGAAACAGCTCTTAGCCATTTAGTTTGCTTTCATCAGCATTCAGTAAGAAAGCATAAACAGAATTCCCTTCCTATCTCATCCTAATTTTCACCTTTATGCCCGGTTACATAACGCTCAGAGACTAATTTTTACCTTGCATTGCTGCCACAATACGGTCCTTTCACTAGCACTTGAAGTATTACTGATTAGATAAAACACCTGAAGAAGGAAGGAAGCCAAGTCCTATGTCTAGTTCTCAAACACAATACTATTGTGATAACTTCTGAACTCAGTTTTGGAACATTTGGTGACTAACACTTAATAAGAAAGCTAGCTGTTTACCTAAGAGATAACATTATTCCTTTAACTGTGTAAAAAGAAACAATCTATGTTACTGCAAGAATCCTACACATAGCTTTTTTAAAATATAAATTTCAACACAAGTGCTTCATCTTTAAGAAGCAACATAAGAAGCTCCACTAAACAACTACCAGGTGCCTTCATGACACTTCTGAAGCTAAAAGGTTGGTTTCAGATGAAACATACTTGAAAGGCCATATGGGAACCTATACTAACTGTCATCATGGACTACAACTCTCTCAGCTTTCATTAGAGGACAATGAATTAAAATACCTGGAGCAAACTGGCTCAGGTGACAGGATCAGCAAAGATTGGGCTGCAATGAGTTCAAAGCACGCAACACTGGACATCTAAGAAGCTTCACTCTTTGAAACCAAACAAAATATGCCCACATGTTTTAACTTTACCATTTATTTATTTATATCTGCTCTAGTAGAACTTCTAATTATCATTCTGTAAATATGAATACTTTAGATCATCTCAGCTGATGACTGAAAAACACATTATAAGATGGAGAAGACTGGATTCCTGACAAAAACAGCTATGCCCCCTCCAGTCCCAACTGGGAGCCTACAGATTACTTAGTACTCTTCCCCCTCAGCATCCCCAAATTCACCACTGAAGGAAACACATGCACTGACCATGAATCTGCCTTTTTCTTTTTTTCAAAGTAGGTTCATTCGCACTACAGTGAATAAGGGATAGAAAAGCTTGTAAGGCCAAGGTCCCTTTCAAACGGCATAAAACACTACATTAAGAGCATGCTAAACAATACATAAAAGGGAATAAAATTAAGACATTAGTAAGAAAACATAGTGCACAGCAAATGCCTTTTTTTCCCCCTCCCACCCAAAATGACACACTATAGATTGCCGCAGTATCTGCAAGGCACAAACCCACGGGACAGCACCCTAATTTATCAAATAAATTTGACAGACAACCTGTGCCAGGTCTTACTTTTGGCTGGGAAGGCTGCTGGCTGCGTTGAGCTCGGCTATCATTTCCGCTACATTCTTTCAGCAGCACAGACAGCAAAGTTGACACGACCTTCTGAAGGAACTTCACCGAGATCGGGAGCGTTAAAAACTTATCCCTTCGGCTTTCGCGGGCGAAACAGCAGCCGAAAACTGTCAAGAAAGGAAAACAAAGGGAGTTAATTCCAGGCAAACCGAGGCAGAAGGCCCCTCCCTCCCCCTGGCCACAGAAGAGCATGAAACAGAGACAGAAATTAAACCCACCGACACCGCCCCCTTCCTCCCGGGCGCTCCCCCGGCGCGGCGGGCCCGGGCCCCGCGCGGTCCTGGCGTCAATCACGGCCTTGCCTGGGCCCGTCGGGGGCGGGGAGCGCCGTCACATGGGCGGGCGGCGGCGCTTCCGCGGCGGCCGGAAGGACGCGGCCGGGGACAGTCCCTGCCTGCCATGCCCGGAGGAGCCGATGGGGCCCGGGAGTCTCTCGCGGTCGTTGCTGCTGCGCTGCCGGCGGGCGGCGGCGGCGGCCGCGGCGGCTCTGGGCGCGCCCCGCTGGCGCTGCCGCCCTCTGCCCGCCCGCCCGCTCAGCGCCGCCGCTCGGCTCAGGGCTCCGCGCCCGCCGGGCACGGGCGGCGGGGGGCGGCGCAAGGGGGCGGGGGGCGCCGGCGGGCATGAAGAAGAAGAAGAGGAGGAAGAAGAAGAGGAGGAGGATGAGGCGGAGCTGGAGGAGCTGCTGGGCCCCTCTCCGCTGGCCCTGGAGCCCGGCGCGCAGCGCGTTGCCATCGTGCACCCCGCGGTCAAGTGGGGCCCGAGGAAGTCGCCGCTCACCACGGGTGCGGGGCTGCGGGGGGGCGGGCGGGCTCCCGGAGCGCTGCGGTGTGCAGGAATACAGCCAGGGGATTGGGAATGAAGTACGCTGGGAGGTGGTGGAGTCACCGCCCCTGGAGGTGTTTAAGGAATGACTGGCTGCGGCACTTAGTGCAATGGTCTAGTTGCCATGGTGGTGTTCGGCCACAGGTTGGACTCGATGTTCTCAGAGATCTTTTCCAACCTAATTGATTCTGTCATTAGTGCCGGTAGTGTGAAGTGGACCCTCTCTTACAGCGGAGAAACTGCGAAATGCTGTTTGCAAAATGCAAGCTCGGATAAAAGGTCTAGGTCACTCTTTCCTTCTTTGACAACTTTTTAAAAGACAGGAAGCTGTCAGTGAGCGTTGGCAGCTCTGTGCTTTGACTTGTAAATCATACTAACTTTGTATCTTTGACGGTAAAACATCTCAGTGCAGGAGTGCACAGGTTCCTTAGGGAAACAGCTGGGTGTCCCCCTCATTAGCTGAATGTTTATAGCCTTCAGCCCTGAACTGAGCTGCCTGGCCATTTGGGCAGGAGACCTTTGACCTTAGGCTTGCCCAGCAGTTGGCTGAAGAGCAGGAATACTTTCCTGTTCAGAGAAGAGAGTGCAGTGAAGATGAAGTCTTGTATAAGTCCTCTCAGGGACTTAAAGAAGTGGTTTTATGCAGTTACTTAGTGATGCAGTCACCAAGAATTCCTCTGTAAGGACCTAATTTAGGACTGCTATTAGATTTCTCTCAGAAATCCTTGTAGCTAGCTAATATATGTGCTCTAATCTTGCACAATTAAAATATGTGATATATTTGATTCTACTCTTCAAACTCTAATTATAAAGTTGCAATAGAAAGTATTAAGCATCTTGTAAGTTAGTTTTTTATGTACAGAATCACAGAATAGTTTGGGTTGGAAGGAACCTTTAAAGGTCACCTAGTCTGACCCCTCTGCAATTAACAGGGACATCTGCTACTAGACCAGATTGCTCAGAGCCCTGTCCAACCTTGCCTTGAATATTTCCAGGAATGAGCCCTCTACCACCTCTCTCAGCAACATAGGAGAGGTTCAGTCTGTCTGATCATCTTCGTGGCCCTCCCCTCAGCCTGCATTAACAGCTCCATGTCTGTCTTGTGCTGGGAACCCCAGAGCTGGATGCAGCGCTCCAGGTGGGCTCTCAGCAGAGCAGAGTAGAGGGCAGAATCACCTCCCTTTACTTGCTGGCCACGCTGCTTTTGATGCAGCCCAGGACATGATTGGCTTTCTGGCCTGCAGGCACACATTGCCAGGTCATGAGGAGCCTCTCGTTCACCAGCACCCCCACGTCCTTCTCAGCAGGGCTGCTCTTGAGCTGTTCATCCCCCAGCCTGTATTGATACCAGGGCTTGTCCTGACACAGGTGCAGCACCTTGCACTTGGTCTTATTAAACCTCATGAGATTCCCATGGGCCAGCTCCTAGAGCTTGTCCAGCTCCCTCTGGATGGCAATAGACAATTTATATATGATATCTATTCTTGTATTCAAATTTATGTGATAGACCTAAATGTCAGTTTTATTAATGCTGCTAATTATAACAAATTGTCACATTGCAAAATAAAGTTTATAACCTTTTCAGAATTTACAGAAACGCTCCTATTTTACAACTGAAAAATAAGTAAAATATGAAGGCACCTTTCTGTCCAAACACGCAGAAGAATAGCAATGATCCCTTTCCATTTTTTGAGGCCCTCCAGATGAAGACCCTGAAGTCTGAAAAAATGTTTTGGAATGATTGTTGAAACACCACAGATAGAACAGGAAATATTTGTGTTTTACAAGAAATACTAACAATATGAGGAGAAAGCGGATCGTGCTTATCTTTAAAAATATATTACCTTTTGGACCAAGGTAACACATTTAGTATATAAATTACATTTTGCTGTCTAGAGACACTTGATAAATCTGTTATGAGAAGAGGAAGATTTTGGCAAATCAAGACTGGATCTACTGATCTGATGTACCCATGTAGTGTTTTTCAGTCAGTTTTACAAAATCCTCAAAAGATAAGTGATGCACCAGAATACAGGATTGGAATTTGCTGGTTCTAGCAAGTCGTAAACTAGTGTAGGTCCTTCACAAATAAGTGGCTGTGAAGTAAGCAGCAGGATATGCCATATTAGTAATTCTTAAAATATTACCTCAAAACACCAAGGTGTTAATCACATGGTTTTGTGCTTGTCTGAAATAACAGATTTTCCAGCTAGTTGTTATTTTCACATGTTTAGCCAAAAAGCTTGGTAATTTCTGTCAATGCAATTAAAAATTCTTCTAAATCAACAAGAGCAAAAATAATTTATACTGGCAAAAAATGCTTTGTGTGATAAAATTGCTTCAAACCATTCAATTACTCTGATTAGAGGTAAGACATTTTGCTCCTTGTGCTAGAGGTTAAAATAAATACCCAAGTAGAATTTCGGTGTAGTGTAGTCTTTCCATGTTAATGCATGTACTGTAGTTATTGGAGATCCGAGCAGAGTTGTGATGGTACATTGTAATCTTTATTTCTTCTTTTTTATTATTGTTATGTTCCTGAAGCTGAATTACAGATTGCTGAGGCCGTCGCTCTTGTAGATACTCTTCAGAATTGGACAGTTTTAGATAAAATAATTATTCCTACAAAAAATCCTGACAAGAAGTTTGTTTTTGGCAAAGGGAACTTTCAGGTTTTGACAGGTAAGGACTGAGATCTTTCAGCACCGAATCACTCTGAATACAAGACTTTTGCAGCTGAACTGTTTAAGGATAGGTGTGAAAGCTGAATAGAGGGAGAATTTTGTTTATCCATCATACACATTTGCAGACAAACTCCAAATAATTTTTTAAGGTTACAAAAGCAATACAGAAGAGGCATAACCTGTGCTCACAGCAAATATGTGAGGCAACTTAGTAAGTTTATGTGATGGACATAAGTGAAACTGGCAACTGTTCTTGGCACAGTACTAAATCAGTGCAATTGCAACTGTTCTGTGAACAAAGAATATGGTGCCATTTGACATTTTATGAACATTCTACTCAGTGCAAAATGGTTTATAGTCTGGAAATTTTAAAAAGAGAATTTACATTTAACACTATATTTTGCAATGGTTATCTTTCAGAAAAGATTAAAAAATTGCCACACCTGACAGCTGTCTTCTTGAATGTGGAAAGAGTATCTTCACTGACAAAGGTAACTGAATATACTATCAATACCATTGCTATTGTTTGGAAGGTATTGATGTTATGAGAAGCGGTCAGTTATGACTCTGAATTTGCAATTGGTAATATATGAAGGCACAGGACTGAGTTTTGTTGAAATGAAACTTAATGCCTATTGCGTTTGTCCAGTTGATATATGTTGCCAGCTCTTGTGCATGGAATTTTTCAGCAGCCTAGTATCATTTGTTACAGACTCATCTCCCGCATTTGCCACTGCCCTAGTTAAAATGCTGGAAAAGTTACTCAAGGTCTTGTTCACAACATGGTGGTTTTATGAAGAACGTCAACATTTTGGAATAGCTATATGCTCAAGTGCTTATACCTGTACTGGATAATGTCTTTATTTTCCTATAGTTCAGTGGATGCTCAATTGTAATTTGAATATGAGGTGTAAATTCAGAGCAAGATTACTTTTTAATGTTTCAAATATTTAAACTTTCATTCCTAACCCTTAAAAAGAAATGTTGAGGGGCAGAGCATACTTCTTTTTTTTAACACTGGCAATAAAACTATTGGTGCATGAACTGTAGATACTCTTTTGAAATGCTTAGACAAACTGAAATAAATACTTTTTTGGGTTTTTGTATGTATAGCATCATGCAGAGTGTAAAGTGCACTCAGACTCTGCAAGCAAACATTAATGCTTTGCTGGTAGTTTTGAACGCTTTTCCTAATTATAAAATGAAGAGATGGTAAATATCTCTAATAGGTGATTATCTCAAGCACTTCCTTTTATTGATGAAAGGGAAGTTGAAATCGTTTAATTTCAATTTCCTAGTTTTTATTCTCTGAGTATGAGTTCTTTTAGTACTAGATTTGCTGGTTTTTTCTTTTCACAAATCTAGATCTTAAGAGCAATTAAAGAGACTTGATTCAAGAAAGTGTTTGAGAATATATATACAACATGTATATATGGATATGTATATACATGGATGCACAAGCATTCTGAATTTTAGAGTTGGCATAGGAAAACTACTGCGTACTTTTAAGTGTCTTTTGCTGAATTAGATCAAGGGTGACGGATTTTGGTTAGTTGGAGTTTTCAAGTATTTTGTGAAAAACTTATTATTAAATATTTTTCCTGCCTTCCTCTCTATTTTTTTTAAGTTTTAGTAATCTTTTTCTTCTTATTTTCCTATGTTATCCCTATCCTTTCCCTTTCCAGCACTGCATAATTATTTTTTACAAGGACTTAACCACTGAGATTCTTGATTCTATGATAATGCTGTAAAAGTTGTTGCCAGAATCCATTTAAGCCAATAGAAAGATTCTCGCTGAATTTGATGGGCCTAGACATAAAGTCCTACTTTCTAAACTCTCTTCTTAACTCCTTTCTTCGTGATCAACCAAATTTTGCCTTTGCATGCTCATAATCCTTGCTCATCCACTGAAATGGAATCCTGAGATCCTGTAAGTGTAGTGCTGTGTAGAAAATGATCTAGTGATACTGTGAGGGACAGAAGACATCTCAGTTATTTTGTCTTACATGGCTAAAGAAAGAACTAGAAGGTGCCTGGGGCGTGAAAGTCTTTGACAGATACACCATTGTACTTCACATTTTTCGTTGTAATGCCCGGACTAAAGAAGCAAAACTGCAGATAGCTTTGGCCGAAATTCCACTTCTCAGGTACCTCGAGCTGTGCAAATCACATACTGATATTTACACATTTTAGTGACTATTTCTTTACAGTAACAAAAATAGCAATACTTTCTTTACAGTACTGTAAAGAAAAATTACTTTTACAGTGCTTGCATAGATTGATTAGAAAATAGAAAAGTTTGCTATAATGTCATTGTTTTAAGCTGACAGGCAAAACCAGAAAGTGTTCAATAGATAGTCTTAAAAAATGCATTTATCATGAAAAAGTTCCAGTTCTTTCTAAAATGGAAGATGAATTCCAAGAATATGTAGGAATTGGATATGTGTATCCAATATATGATATTGATGGGTTTAATAAGGAAAGCTATAAACAAGGAAGATTAAAGGCATTAATATGTGTCTGAATTTTCCACAGTTCTGCATTACATGGCATAGAAATGTATACATGGCAGTTGGTGAGAGTCGTGGGGATGCATCAGAGGTATCTTTGACTCTCTGAAATTTCAGTATAGCAATTACAATTTGCTGAGAGAGTTGCATGCTTCGTCAAACCACAGTTGAGCCAGGAAAATCTGGATTTTTTTTGCCAGGCTTCTTGCCATGAGGAGATTTTATTTACAGCTCGGTCATTTGCTGTTTTTATTTGTACTGTCAGAATATCACTACTGCTTCACATTTTTTAGGCATTTTAGGATAGCTCAGCTAAAGAAAATTGATTCTAGTTAATTGTTACTCTGCTGCCAGGTCAAATCTGAAAAATGAGGTGTCTCAGCGAGATCAGCAGAGAGGTGGATCAAGATATATCATGGGCTCAGGTAAAGTCTAAGTATTCTCATGAATTAGAAGATTTTTTTTCTCCATAGCCTTTAAACAAATTTAGTTGCATCTTACTTGCTTTGGAGGAGGTCAGGAGGAAAAACTGTCCTGCATGTTCTGCATCTAATTAGGCAAATGTACAAAGCAAGTTAAATAATAAAGTTTTGGTCTGTACTCTCTCAGTAAGTGGCCAAGAACAGACTATTTCCTGCCACAGGGGTTTATCATAAGTGTGCATGGATATTCTAAAGTACTTAGCATATATTTTAATAATTACTTACTCTGATTCTTAGGCAAGAATACATAGCTTTAGTTGCTTATTTCTAACTTCATATTCCCTAGTGCTAACTCACTTGCTTTCCAAATGCACAACACTTAGTTTACTTTTGTAAACTATTCGGCCAATTATTCACCTGTATTTTTCAGGGGAAACATTTCTGGAGACACAGAATCGTATCTTGAAAGAAAGAGAACTTAAAATTAGGAATGCCCTGGAGAAACTAAGAAGAAGAAGGTCTTTACTTAGAACTCACCGCAGAAAACGCGAGTTTCCAATGATCTCAATCATGGGCTATACTAACTGTGGTAAGCAAAACCTCCTGAAATTGTAATGTGAAAGAGATTATATTGTCTAATTTTTAATTAGCAACTCTAGCCAGAATCTCATTTCTGTGTGAATAGGCTTCATATTTTAATTAGTTTTTAAACTGTGTAATGAATTTATGTCAGTTAGGTTACAGTTAGGAAAGCAAATTAAGCTGCTTGTTTTTTTCAGTCTTGGAGACATGTTTTGGAGAAATGCCTAGCACCTACTGTGCCAAATAGATTTTATATATAGTGCTGAAGACTGTAGTGTTGGTGTCCCTTTATATGAGACTACTACTTGATCAGAATGGGTAGAGAAGAGTACATGGGTGTTTAGATCACCGTGAAGGCTTGAGGCATAGGAAGAAAATTGAGAAGAGTTGCCAGTTGATCTGAGAAATGTGCTTAAGAAGCACTGTAGCTTTTCATGGATTATGTGTAGTGTTTTGAGACGTGTTCCTAAGAGACTATAAATAAAGCTTAAGTGTTTTTTTGTTTTTTAAATTTGAATTCTTAAACAAGGCATAAATAGACTTTGGACTAGACACTTTTTTCCAGATTACATTATCTTAAGACCATTTGATTTTCTTATTCAATAACTTTATAAAAACAAACTTACCTTGCACAAAAATGTGGGTAGGTCACTTTACAGATCAAATCAGTCTTTGATCATCTTGTGATTTCACAGCATAGCTCCCATACATTCATCTTAAACCCAACTCCAAGTTATAAGACTCTCTTTGGTTTTCCTAACATCATATAGGTAATTGATCACAAAATTACTAAATTACTAAATGATCACATTAAAATTACTAAAGTAGATGTGAAAATATGTTACGTCATACAATTCACCTGGGCCTTGGAAATGATATTTTTACTTGAAACAAGCCATTAAAATCTTGTCCTTTTTTATTTAACTAGGAAAAACTACTTTGATCAAAGCCTTGACTGGGGAAGCAGGACTTCAACCCAGGGATCAGCTGTTTGCTACTCTCGATGTTACAGCCCATGCTGGCTATCTGCCTTCACATATGGCAGTTATTTATGTTGACACCATTGGGTTCCTGACTGATCTTCCACATAATCTGGTTGAGTCCTTTTCAGCTACGTTAGAAGAAGTGGCTTACACAGTAAGTAGTTGACTATAAAAATTGAGAAATGAAATTAATTTCCTGTAAGATAATCCTCACCCCTTCAAAAAAGGGGAAATTAATTGACATGCTGTTCTTAGTGAAACATCTGGCTGACTATAATAGTTTCCTAAGAAAATTATGTATATATCTTACAGTAAACCAGTTTTCTGATACTTGAAATTATGCAGAACATACAGATATGAAGAGATTTTGGAAAGGGCTTATTTGGAATATATGTGTCCTTCTCCATGATATGTAAAGCAGATAACTCAGATTGTGTTGATTAAATATCTGAACAGTGCACCTGAGTGAGTTGAGACTAGCTTTCTTGGGAGCTAAAAATGAAATAAAACTGCTGAAATGATCTGATTTTAACTTAACGTTTCCTATAGCACTAAAAGTGGGTGATTGTGATGTGATGCAAGCAGCGTGTAATTAACATAAATGTACTTCTCTAATTATTTTCTCATTATTTTCCTGTGTTATAGCAAAGTGTAAAGCTGCATACATACACACAGACATTTAAAAAAAAAGCCTGTATCATCAAAGGTAATTAAATTCAGTGGTAGCTAGATGCTAGAATGCTTCTGAGGATTAGATTTCACCAGGGCTTTCAAAACCTGGCTGAAACTGTCCTGTTTATTTTTCTCCAAAGTGTTAAATGAAAGGCAAGAAATTTGTTTCTTACTAATTTTCAAAAGTTTAAAGCAGTGTCTTGAGCAAAGATGGTGAAACATTTTGAATGCAAATATTGAATTTGGTTGCTTGGTTTTTATCACGGCAAACATGATTGTGTGCGTACTTGAAACTGATAACTTCTGTATAAAGCTTTTTAATTGAAGCACCAGTAATAGTATCCTGAGAGCTAAGCATAAGGATAATCTTCTACATTTTGAATGTAAAAGTAGAATTACAAGTTACATGGGTTTTTTTCCCTCAATTTTTGAAACAGTTTTTCAGCCATTACTCTTGTAAAAGTGCTTTTTAGAGTTCACTCTTTTGCCTTATTGTTACACAGCCTTGCTTTGGAAAAGAATAGGTCAGCTATTACTTGAAATATGAATTCTGTAGCTAGCTTGGTTGGCAGGGTTTGTTTCAGGTTTGTTGGAGGCAATTTGTACTCAATGTGAAGTGAGATACGAAGCTGCTACAGATTTTCTTCCATCACGGTCTAAGAAACGGAATTGATTTAATACTGTTTTAGTAGTTAATTTTACAGTGCTAACCTGCCAGTATATTATCTAATGGATAGGGAAGTATCTCATATGAATAAGCAATACAAAAATGGTAGAAAATCTCTACAGCCTGGTAACTGGTGTTGTATATTGACCCTTGCTAGGATCTGATAGTTCACGTGAGGGATATTACTCATCCAGAAACCATCCTCCAGAAAGCAACTGTTCTGTCAGTTCTGAAGAATCTTAATCTTCCCAGCCATTTATTGGACTCAATAGTAGAAGTTCATAACAAAGTGGACTTGATAGAAAGGTAAGCAGGAGATGCTTAAGTCAGGAGATGTTCTGGAAGCTTTTTAATTCTTAGTGTAGAAGAGCTCCCACACTTCAGAATACATTTAATAGTGTTTCTCAATCTTTTACATATGTAACTATGGTCTTAAAAAGAATTAATTATCTTTTAATAACCAAAGAAATCACTTTAGTAATAAAAGAAGTGGCCTCTGTAGAAGGTGCCAGTATAAAGTAACTCAGTTAAAATTGAGTTTAAAATATTTTCACAATCTAATCTTCATGAACAAATGTGCTAGCCATTATTTTCTTTCAGGTATAAACCCACAGAAGAAAACGCTTTAGCTATTTCTGCTCTACATGGGCATGGTTTAGAAGAACTGAAACAAGAAATAGAGAAGAAAATACTGACAGCAACAGGGAAGAAGATTCTGACAATTAATGTCAACTTAGAGGGACCTCAACTAAGGTAAATAATTTTGAATTGTATGAAGGATTTGGAGAAATACGAAACACTTAGTTGTGCATGTCCTAAACCTTCCAAATCATATCATACTGATTTTAATCTGCTTAAGAATGACAGGTATAATTATCAAAGTTTTCCGACCTATTGACAAAAAATAGCCCCATTAGATATCCTGGAGAAGTGAAGCAAAGCACTTCATCTTTTCAAGTGTTAAATTACCTAGATAGAACATGTTGACCTAAACCAAGATCACATTTTATGCAGTGTGTCATACCTTTAAGATGCTAATATGCTTTTACTTTTACAGTTGGCTATATAAAGAAGCAACAGTTCAGGAAGTAGAAGTCATGCCTGAAGATGGCACAGCCAGGGTGAAGGTGATAATCAACAGTTCTGCTTTTGGCAGATACAAAAACCTCTTTCCCAACAGTAAGATTTTCATGTCATGAAACTGAATCCTTTTCTAGGAAAAGAAACTGGTATCATTAAGAGAATGCAAAATGAAGTTAATGACCTGTTAGTCTCAGTGTTGAGAAGTTTATTTTTCTTCCCCTGTTGATGTTTTTGACACGTTTTAGAAATGGACACTGTTTCAGAAAACTTCTGTTTGGAAACAATAAGAGCTTTGAGCTTAATTTTATCAGCAAGTGCAAGGACAACACTAAATTTTTAATGTTAAAACTGTTGCTGGCTATAAGCTGTGGACCTCAAACACATGGAATGGCATCTGACTTAATCTTCAGAAAAGTAACAAGTTCCTTATAACATATAAGTAAAGCTTTTTATCCCCTTTTTCAGAATAAAATATTTATTATAGTTGTTTCAGATGATCTTTGGAAAATGAAAGTAAGTGAACAAAATGTTGTTGTATATAAATAAGTATGTATTCAAGTAGAATGCATGAACATAAACAAAATAACTGCCATGTCTTATTGCAATGAAGAAAAAACTCCATAGATTTGTATATTAAAGTATTGAATAAAGTTAGCTGTGAACATCTTTTACCCATGTAGTTTTCTTGCTTACAGTAATTTATCCAAAATGCTTATTAATGTGTCAGTTCTTGGAGAAGACATTTAAGGTACAGCAAACCTTTCCACAAAGGAAAACAAAAGAAAAGAAACCAATCACAACTGATCTATTACTTGAGTTATGAATTACTACTGGGAACCAATAAAACAGTCAATATCACAGAAAGGAGAAACAAAGCTATTTCAGTCCATATTACACAGAGAGATCAAGTTTTATTAGAGTAACAAGGGTACAAAAGATAGGCAGAAGAATGTTCTGAGTTCTTCTGAGTACCTGTAATATAACAAAAACTGAATGACTACTCGTTATGAAGTACATAGAGTAAGAACAGGATGCAAAGCTCTGTAAAAAAAGCATTTAGGAAGTCTTCCTCATAAATGTAATGTTTAATTTTTACTCCTGTGTATTCTGCAATTGCAAGAGATTCCATGAAGAGGTTGCATCTTACCCTTTCATGCTGAGCAGTATAGAGAGAGTTTGATACAATGGTAAGTAGCAATTAATTTAAGACTTCTGCAAACATTAGCATCTTGTCAAACATCTGAACTTAGCTTTTGCATATAAAGTGCATCTAAAAAGTGAGGTATATAGATGAAGCTGCATAGTCAATTTTACACAACGACTGTTTTTGTTTTAGTTCTGATGCTTGCTATTTCTCTTGCCTTCGTGATCATCTGTTATTGCACAGTTCATTTAGAAAAATAGAATTCATATGCAATAGCAAACAGCATAAACCCCTTAGTTTTCACATAAGCAAAAATTACTTAGTGAGAGGAAAAATAATTATAGAGCTACTAAAATAGCTAAATCAAAGACCAGATGTGAAACCCCAAATGAGCATGACAGAAGTGAAGAACCTGTATTTCTAGAGCAGTTTGACTTTAGATAAGGAATTTGTTTCCTCTGTTTATTTTCAGTGTAAGGCACACTTTGGCAACACCTAATAAAACATTTGACACAGACAAAACTGACTAGGGGCCTAGTTTTGGTATCTTTATCACTTCAGACCTGGCATGAGTAAGTGTGCAAGTACACGTACTGTTTACAAATCATAAATAATTTTGTGACTACTCTGTTAGTAAGGCAGTTCACAACTGATACTCAACACATTGGTGTATACATAAAATCATGTCAAATTGGATTGTCAATACAGTACCTTTGATATATCAAAAATATTTTTAAACTTCCTTTTAAACTATGAAAACAGACAAGTCAGTTTCACACTGATATAAGAGTAAGAATTGGGGATGCAAGTAATGCAGAATATCCTTAAAATTATAAGAAAGATAAAATCACTAAATAAGTCATGCCGCTATTGGCATATTTCTCCTTCTTGGTCCTATGTAAAATAAGATTAAGTTATTGGGACTTCCAATATTGCCTGCTGCTACAGAATCAAAACATCTCCAAATAAATTACACCTATACCATAATTTTCTGGAGACTTCAGCAAGGTCCTAAGGTCATGAAACTCAGATGATGTTGAGAGACCTTTTCTTACTGAGCCTTTAAAGCATCCCTGGTTTAAGTTAAATAGACCTTTATGGGATTCAGGATGTTTACAGAAGAGCACATTAAATGCAGACAAAGCCTTTTCAGCTTTTCACAGACTAAGAAGCAACAAATGAAATGTTATTTGTTCCAGCTCCTCTACTTTGACAGTCTAATGGAGGATTAATTTTTGTGTTAAGTTCTATCACATCTTTGACAAAATCATTGTTTCCTATAAAGTCTCCAGCAATTATGTTAATACATTCTTTTTTTGGTCCTGGATACTGTTGCTTTATCCAGATTTTCAAGCATGGAAGACTCCGGAGTGTCATTTTCTTCAACGATCCAAATGGGTGTAGGAGAATATACCCTAAATTTTCAGTAAGGTTAATCCCTGCTACAAAGAATTTTCCTGAAACAAAAATCAGAAAGTGACACATTAAATATTCTTTTAAGGAGAACAGAAAATGCTCAGTATTACATTAGCTTCAGATCTTGTTCCAGTGGAATCATTAAAATACTTAACTTCACACTCTTTCTGTATTGTTTCATATTCCTACAACTGATTCAGTAGACTGTCTCCCCTTGTTGCAACTTCATGCTGTAGTAAACAGTTACTGAGCCACACTTGGTTATCTAACCATTCCAGTTTAGCTAAATTTGTCTAACTACTTTTCCTTTGTAAATTATGTTTGTTTCTGTGAGGGTTGCTTCCAAATGCTTAGCCTTCCCCCATGATGGATGGAAACAAAGGGTGCACCACATGAGCATTTTCCTTTCCCTGAGAAGCTCACTTTTGAAGCAGCTCTCCCCTTTATCACCCTGTGCGTTCCCATCAAAAGCTAAATCAGATGTTACGAGCTGAATTTCTCTCAGATTATGCTACAAAAGCATGCTTAAGTGCTGCTATTTACTGGTGCAACTACACTCTCCACGTACTGTTTTTGTATCCATAGAATCATAAGGTTGGAAAAGACCTCCAAGATAGAGTCTAACCTTTGACCAAACATCAAACCATGACAACTAAATCACAGCACTAAGTGGCACATCCAGTTGTTTCTTGAACACTTACAGGGGTGGTGACTCCACTACCACTGTGGGCAACCCATTCCAATGTTAAACCACCTTTTCAGTGAAGAAATTCTTCCAAATATCCAACCTGAACCTGCCCTGGCACAGGCCTGAGGCCATTTCCTCTTGTCCTGTCACTTGTTGCCTGGGAGAAGAGGTTGAACCCTGGCTTGCTACAACCTCCTTTCAGGTAGTCATAGAGAGCAATAAGGTCTCCCCTCAGAGAAACCTCGTAGGGGTTTCTTTTCATAAGGCTAGCGGAATGCATTTCTCTCATCATCTGTGCTGCCTAAAGCAGCAAGCTCTGGACTTGAGGAAGCTGCGTCCTACCCACGAGATGGGTACAACAGGGCCAGTGAGCTGGTCTGTGCTGAGGGCCTCCTCTCCATGGGATCACATAAGGGATGTGGCTGCCACAATTTATATGGTCTATGCATGTACATACACTGACACACCACCACAGATGAACACTGCACTCGCCCATTGGTGGGCAGAGCACTCAGCAACCACGGGCACACAGCATGCACAAAGGGGTTATACCTCATAAGGTTACAATCACCCAATTTCCTATTTGTTTTGCACTGCTGTAAGCACCCCTTCTTTCTTCCAAGCAACTCCCTGTGCCTACCTGGACGGCCATTCCGCTTCATGTGCTCTAAATATCGGATAAGAGCACGAGTGGATGTTTTGTTTCCCCACCAGTATGGGATCGTGGGCCACAGCTCACAGTGCTCCTTCAGTTCCATGTCCTCTTCGTATGAGACTATGACCTGATGGCCCAGCTGCCACATGGTCCTCAGTGTTGGTATCACCTAAAATAAAGCATGCTCGGGTTGAAGTCAGCAACACAGCAGTGTTCCCAAAGTTTGAATACTGTTGTGTGACATTACCTTGGCACAAATTCGGTTCAGACAAAGCTTTTAAACAAGCAGCCCGGTGGGTCAGGGGCTGGATTACAAGCTGCAGGGGCAACAGGAGCCTGGTTACTTCAGCAAATTCCTCCTTTTCTCAATTCAACTATGATAATGTACATATCTGAAGGTCTTACACCTGCATAACCATCCCTGTGTCAGCCCTTGTGCACAAGCCACTGCTGAAAATTTGTTGAGAGAGGAAGACACAGACCATCCATGGACAAGGAGACAAAGCCCTACACGCAGCTGTAGGAATGCAGACACAGACACAGAAAAGCAGGAATCATTTTGGTGAATGCCCCACGTTGATGCATATTGGGCACTGTACCCCTTAAAGAAAACTGAACTGCTTAAAACTTGGTAAGACTAAATGTCAGTCTCCAAGAGCTACATTAATTCTGATTTCTTTAAGTGGAAGGTTTCTAAAATTGGGATGCTCCAGACATTTTGAATTGAGAGAGAAGAAGACTTGGGTCAGAAACCTTCTCTGACAGACAGGTGGACTGAAACAGGTCTGTTAAATTTAAGTATTTCAATATGAAATGACATTTTCCAACCCTCAGAAGTTACCATTGGAGAGAATTGAGGCCCTCTGACTAATTTAATTTGCAAAACCAACATATTTAACAGGCATTGTCTTTTCTAAGAATATTATGGTTAAAAGCTATATCTGTTGCTTATGAAAAGGAAATGGTGGCTTTTTGATGTTCCAATTAACTTATTAATTAAAATAAAAGTAAGCCAAAGTCAGTTGAAAATTATTAATGTAAATATTTGAAGAAAGCCAAGGATTGAATGAACATGGCAATCCCTCTTCATCCAAGAAAAAGAGAATGCAAGCCCCAGTTAGGTCAGAAAATACTGTAAAATTAAGGTACAAGCTACTAAAACTACAAAACTCTGTGGTTGACTGAAGCCTTTGCTTTACTCCCACTGCCTTTCTAAAGCTAGAACCTCTTAAGCAAACAAACAAATAATAAGTTGTGGAGTAAAAGCAAAAAAAAAAAGCTACTAGAAATGTGTACGTAAGCACAGGTGCATATTTTGCAAACAAAGCAGAAATGAAACTGTACATCTCTGACAAGGGATTTTTAAACCCTACTAATCCAGATCAAAGGAAGACACCTTGAATAGTTAAGGCAATTAAAATTTTAAACACAATGTAATATTGTCACGCTGTGGCCTGTGCCAGTACTACATACAGACCTCAACCTAGCAGCTGCATCATAAACACTTTGACACTTACTCTTCTATAATGACAGAGATGCAGTATTGAAAGACAATAGATAGCAGTTTATTTTAGAATAAGTGAGTAAACGCTTTGATATTTGATATTAAATCTGAATCTGTGATCCTGGAAAATCCCACAGTTGCCAAAACTGCAATGGTACCACCAGCAAAAATGGTGAGATCCGTTGTGCTGGTCACAGATCCCATACAGATAAAGTCTTCCTGCTCAAGGGAAGCACTTGGCTTGTTTTTTCTGCAGTACCACTCCTCCCTTCCCCTGGACACAATTCAGAAATGTTCTTTCTTTGGTGAAGTGATCTCAAACCATTCTTTCAACACCTTTGTTCAACAAACTATCAGCAGAAGCTCACCCCTTTTGCAGTTAATAACTCTTTTTCTGGCCATGTATCTGAAAGCAAATTTGACCATCTTCTCCAGTATCACTCTTCTCATCCACAACTTACATACTCAAATTATTTGGGGAAACAATAGAACAGTGTCACTCAGGTCTTCAGTTATTCAGCTGAGGCCTGAATATTCAGAATCCCCTAGTTTTGCTGAGAATTGTTCTATTTTAACTCTGCTATACTAAATGCTTTGAAATGGTAATATTCACTGTTACTTATACACCAGCTTCAAAGGCTGGATTTGAATCACAAACAGGGTCATCATTCTCCTGTACCACTCACATCTCCAGAGAAAACCCTCTGTTCCTGTGCATCTTTGAAATGTTAATTGTTTAACTACTAAAAGCTCCCATACCTCATAAAAAAAAAAAAAAAAAAAAAAAAGAGGGAAAAAAGAGTAAACTAAAAATCTCAACTTCTAAAATCTATCAATCAAATATTTTCTGGTTATTTAAATTAAGGCTTTTCTGGAAGTTTAGATGACTGAAAATCTGGTTGGAAGGTCAGCTCCAGGAAAAAAAAGTCAATGCCACCAGAAATGCACTGAGGGCAGAGGTGCCATTAGGAGGGACCTCAACAGGCTGACAAAAACCTCATGAAGCTCAGCAAAGAAAAATGCAAAGTCCTGCACCTGGATGGATTAACCCCACACACCAGGACAGACTGGGGACAGCTGGCTAGAAATCTGCTTTGCAGAAAAGGACCTGAAGGTTCTTGTAGACAGCAAGCTGAATGTGAGCCAGCTGTGTGCCCATGTGACAAAGGTCAACTGTAAACTGGGCTGTATTAGCAGAGGCACAGACGGCAAGTCAGGAAAAGGGGTTCTTCCCTTCTATTCAGCAGTTGTGGAACTGCATCCCAAACACTGTTTCCAGCCTGGGCTTCCCCACTACAGAAAAACTGATGTAGTGGATGAGTCCAGCAGGATGCAACCAGAGTAAGCAGAGGCTAGAGCATGACACACAAGGACAGGCTGAGGGAGCTGAGTCTGTTCAGCATGAAAAAGAGAAGACTGGACAGGTCTTACTGCTGTCTGCAAATACCTAATGGGGAGATATAGAGAAGACTCCTCAGATATGCATAGAAAAGGATGGAAGTTGGCAGACACAAGTTACAGCAAGAGAGATTCTGATCAGATAGAGAAGAAAAGCACTGTGAGAGTGGCCAAATGTTGGAACAAATGTTGTATAGAAAGATTGTGGAATCTCCATGTTTGGAGATATTCAAGAATGGACAGGACACAGCCCAACATAACTTTGAAGTTAGTCCTATTTTGCATGGTTGTGTTGGACCAGATGACCTCCAGAGGTCACTTCCAACCTAAACTATTATAAATAGCATAAAAATTCATTTATAATTATTGCTGTGAAAAGGCAGAAAATGGATTCTTTAAATTCTATAAATATAGCTTGTACTATATTTATAACACACATAACTTTCCTCTTTCCTTTTCTTTTCCTTTCTCCTTTCCTTTCCTTTCCTTTCCTTTCCTTTCCTTTCCTTTCCTTTCCTTTCCTTTCCTTTCCTTTCCTTTCCTTTCCTTTCCTTTCCTTTCCTTTCTTTCCTTTCCTTTCCTTTCCCTTTCCCTTTCCCTTTCCCCTTCCCTTTCCTCTCACACAGGACAGTGGATGACAGTTGTGTCTCTACTATTGTCCCACAACTGTTCATCAACATATATGACAGTCAAATTTAATTCCCTCTTCTGTCCTAGTTACAGGGGCCAGGACCAGTTTCTTACCGTGTGGGTACAATCAAAACTGTGTATTCTACACTCTCTATGTCATTTCTGATGGACTCCTAATAATGAGTCATTTGCAGTAGCTGCCTAGGGCACACCTAATGACTCAGCTCTGGGGAGACTCAGCCTGAAGGGTCATCTCTGCTAATGGGTCATACTGGACTGGCATAACATGCAGCTGCAACACCTAGACCATCGAAGACTCAAAAAAATATCCCATGACTCACAGAGTTAAATCACCCACTGTGAAACTCCTAGCCTGGCAGAGGTACTGGGCATTCCCACCTGAACCTGAGCATATATAATCTTGGGGTTTGGGATTTCTGGTACCACTTGTTGGATCCAGAGGAGGACCAGAACTCCAACAAGACTGCCACTGTCACTCTCGACAAGACTGCAATCATTATGTCAACAGAACTGCGACCATCACCTGGACTAACAGGTTTTCCTTCCTTTTGCTTTGTACCCAAGGGGCCCACGTGATGCTCAGCACAGGGGCCAATGAACACTGTTCTGTTCTTGTCCCAGGGTGAGGGTTATACATCTGTTTTTGTGGGTTAAACCCAGTTTTTCTCTGTATCATTGCATTTATTGTAATTTATTTTTAGTAAATTGTAACTCTGACTTATAATCTCTCTAGAGTTGGGTTCATTTCTCCCACCGGTTTACTTTTAAACCAGCACACCTTCTCACTGTGGAATGTAGGTTTCCTTTATCTCCTCAATTTTATTAGGTAAACACCTATCTCTGATGCAGTAAATGTTACCTTTCCTAGGTTAAAAACACAGTGAAAGTAAAATATATCTAAAAATTTGGAATCACAGATCTCACTATAATATATCATTCTTTAAAAAAGGAAAAAAAAAAGGATCTCATACTTACATTCCTGGGACACAGTTTACACTGGAAAATCTCTTTTATACAGGCAACAAGATGACTGTGAAGTCTCCTGGTTAATCCATCAAAATTCCTGCAGGCTAAGATAATGACTTCCTGAGGATGAGCTTCCAACCACCTTAATACTTTCCACAGAGTATCCTACAGGAGAGAGTTATGGAAACTTGTAAAGTTATCTCTGCTATGCAGGGGAAAGAGCATAAAATCAACAGAGCATTGATGGTGGAGTAGACTCACAATCACAATCATGAAAATCAGTATAGATTTCTGGAGGGGGCCATCAGACTGCCCAAAAGGGGTTCCAGAGAGATGTGCCCCAGGAAAACCTACTTTCACAGATCTGTTCCAGTTTGTGGTTCTGGCACACTAGACTTACCAGCTTTGTATTTTGATAATATCCGTGAATATCCTACTGCCTATAGGCAGGGTAGCAGTAAACCTAACTCCCCAAGCTTCTTTGGGGACAACCAACATGACGGTGGCAAACTCAAAAACAGAAAAAAGTTCTGTGCTTAAACATAACAGGACTCGTTTCCCCCCTTTGGTATGGGCAATGACAACTAAATGAAGATCACACAAAACTAGGAAGGTAGTCAGGCATTACATCTGTTTACAGGTGTGTGCCAGGCACCATGAAGTCTCAACACATGGAGGGTTCAGACTCACGAGTCTGAAACTGAAGTTTAGCCAGTTACTCTACAAATTAAAAGCTTCATTAGCTGACTGTGCCTGGCTGTACAGGTCCCAACAAATGGAAAGAAGATGTAAAGTATTCCAAGATGATAGAGCACATGCAAAGAGCAGCTCACAGCAGTTGCTTCACAGCAGCTGACAGTCATTTGATCATAGGATCCAGATTAAGTCTCTCAGTCTTTCAGTGAAATATTTCTTTAAAAAAAAAAAAGTGTTTCTGTGATTTTTATTAGGCTTTTAATGCCTTCTTCTCTTTAATAACTTTTGCCCCTACCAGGAAAACAGGATTGACCTGGGTATCGTCCTGGGACAACACAAGATAAACCCCAGAACTTCGGGCACTTGGTAGAGGCTAGACAGCGGAAAGCGGGCATGACTGGTTTGAGGATGAGGAGCTCATTGATGTTCCACTATCAAGTGCAGCTGCTGAAATTAATTTCCAGCCCTGCTGATTTTCTCTAGTTTGAAGTCCTCACATAAGGAAAACAAATAACCTACTTAGAAGACCTTGGACCAGCATTTTCAGATTATGGTGGATTTTAAATAAAAGAAACAGCACTGGTTTTATAGCCATCACAAAGGTAAGAAAAATACCTGTACAGTAACAGTTGTGTAAACCATATGCACAAAGTACAAATTCATAGATGGATCATTAGCCTTGTGGGCAATCCTGAAATCCAGGTATCTAACTCCAGCCTCAAGTTGCTCTGTCACAGTCAGGACCTGAAAGGTGAAACAGAAAACAAAGGTCCTGAGAGCTTGGAAAGGATTTGTTTCTTTAGTTTAGAAAGCTGGAAAAGGTGTACAAAGTCAGCCCTATGACATTTTTCTCGGGTCTTTTGTCTTTAAAATGTCACTCTATGCCACCAAGTTGCAGCTTTGAAGTATCTCACTCTCTGAACAAGAGGAATTAAAATTTCCCTGAAGAGTATACTGTGGGTACAGATTAGATTAATTTCAGAGCACTGCCCTTGTTGTGTTCTGAAAGCAAAAGATCCATTAACCTGTGCATAAATACATGATCACTCTTCACACAATTATTCATATGAACAACAACTGCAGGATCAGCACCTTAGAAATGCTGCATTTATTTTATTAGATCAAAGACTTTACCGTGGTTGTCTCTGCAGAGCTCACTCATCCTCAAAAGAAGGAAAAACAAAAATAGAAAAAACTAGTGGTTATTGCTCTTTTTCAAGATAAAGTTTCTTATAAAGTTTGAATTAACCTGTCAATGTCCTACAAAACAGAGGTAGTCCTCTATTTCCACTTCCCTCAAACCTCTTCCTCTGGATTTGAGGGCTGAATGGAACAGGTGAGAAAGCTGTTTCTGGGGCAACAAGTCCCAAATGTATGTGTTTTACATCTATTAAGGTTCTCTTTGAGTAAGAAAATAGAAGCAATTTAATTAAATACATTTAAACATTAATTTGTCTCAGTTCAACCTGCTATGTACAACACTACCAGGTTTCATAAAGCATACAGGACTGATATAAGCCAGAAAGGATTCAATACAAGGCATTGGTCCTGAATAACCACAATCACAGTTTTAGGGCTGAGATAGAACTTATGACACAGGGCAGGATGCTCACCCTACCTAACTTCCTGTTCTTTGGACAAGAATTTTATCTCGCCAGGCTGTGTCTGTGGTTCTGGGCTGGGAAAGGCCAACCCCACGTGCCCTAGGATTCAGATGGTGCGCTTGATCTGGCCAACAGCTCCCTCTGTGCCTTCTGGGACTACCCCAGGCTGGAACAGTTGAAGGGGTGATCCAGGCCCCTTTGCTTGGAGCATTTTGGAGATGGGAATGTGTGTGGCTGTAGGTCACATATAACCTTTCTGGCCAGTAAGAGCATCAGGTGAAATAGCTGCTGTAAATTGCCCTTTAGATGAGTCAATTTCTTTCTGTTGACAGCATGGGAAAACCAGACAAACTAGACTCTCTAATGAGTCACCTGGGTTTGGATACTGAATCAGCCAGTGTGAACATTGCCCCCTAAAGGGCAAAATTTGAAAGGAAGCCCTGGGGAGCAATGCTGCTCGGTGCTGCAGGCATTCAGAGCATGAGTGGAAGTTACACAGCCATTGCACAGGAAAAATTTGGACCTCTAGGCTGACACCCATAACAGTCAGGGCTCAAGCAGGCACCTCCTCCTAGGCACTGCGCCATCCAAGAACCTGTGGGTCCTACCATCAGTAGGGCTCCTTCACATCAGTTCTGGATACCAGTGTGTGGAGTCACCTCCTCACAAAGGTAACTGGAGCACCACAGAGGTAAGGAGTGCAGGATTGCAGCTGTGCCTCTTTCCTATCAGCAATGGGCCACTTCCCACTTGTCACACTGGTTTTGGACCAGAAATTACTATAATGATATTAGCAGATTGTTCGTCACCAGCAGTGTCACTTTGCCAGACAGAAATCCACAAATCAGGAGATATCTAAATCTTTCATTGGCCTGAGTCCCAAAGCAAAAAGCAGTTCAAGGTAAACAAGACTGTGCTAAGCAAGTGCCTTTCCACATCAGCTCATCATTGCCATTACACATACCCTGGTAGTGTCTAAGATTCCAGTTTACCAGAGCTGCGCAAACACAATAAAAACTTAAGCATATTTATTAAAACTTATCAATTTTTCAGTTTTAATTCCATAATAATGAACTACTCCTTCAATAAGAACAAAAGCAAACAGATTTTTGGCACCTCTTTGATGTCAGGAAAGTCTCTTCTTTGGAAGAATCTTCAAAATCTCTAGCTTAAATCACGATCCCCAATTTTGTCTTTAACATACATTTGTATGGAACAAAGAGATAACTACTATCTTAGTATTTGGACATTTAAAAAAATGAACTAAGCCTTACATGAGGGAACACACCTTCATTCTCTTAATCTTTATGGGAAAAAAAATTCCTTCAATGAGGGATTCTTGTGTCTCTGCTGCTGGGTGAAATACTCATGCAGTATGGATGGGGAAAACAACTGACACCTCACACAACAGTGATAGAAAAATGACAAGCATTACCTTCTGAACAAAGTACAATAGAAAAACCTCTGTTGATTACAGTAATGTTATTTATAACAACAATAAACATTTGAAAAAGAAGATGAGTTTCTAGTACCAAGTGGTCAGCTTTAAGCAACATCTTTATTTAAGTATCATCCCTGCCTCACCTACAGGTTTTTTTCCCACAAAAGATGACCAAGTATATAGGCCACCTATCTCATACCCCAGTGTGCTGGATTTAGATAGGAAGAGTTAATTTTCTTCACAGTGACTGGTATGGGACTGTTTTCTGAATTTTTGTTGGAAACAGTGTTGATTACATGGAGATATTTTCCTTATTGCTGAGCAGCACTTACACAGAGCCAAGATCTTTTCTGTCTCTCCCTCCAGCAGTAAGCAGGCTGAGGGTGCACAGGGAGTTGGAAGGGGACACAGCCGAGGACAGCTGACCTCAACTGACCAGAGGGATATCCCAGACATATGGAGTCATGCTCAACATATAAAGCTGGGGGAGGAAGAAGGGGAACATTCAGAGTGGTGGCATTTGTCATCCCAGGTCACCATCACACGTGATGGAGCCCAACTTTCCTGGAAATGGTTGAACATCTGCCTGTCCATGGGAAGTGGTGAATTAATTCTTTGTTTTGCTTTGCTTGCATGTATGGCTTTTGCTTTACCTATTAAACCATCTTTATCTCAACCCAGGAGTTTTCTCACTTTTACCCCTCCAGTTCCCTCCCCTATCCCATGTGGGGGCAGTGAGAAGCAGATGTGTGAGGCTGAGTTGCTGTTTGGGGTTAAATCACAACACCCAAGAACAGCATCTGAGGAGAGCTCAGATTTCTGGGCAGCAGGCTATTCTGTCATTGTACGTGGCGGAGCTTGGCCACTCTCAGCCCTGCAGCACAAGCTTCAACTTTGCTGAGACATGAAGAGAATGCTAAATGACATTTACCTGTGTGATAGACCACTTCATGATAATGGGGCGCACAATGCAGGGCATACATTTGTTTAAAAACTTCACCACCTTGGATTCATTGCCACTAACAGCAGATCTTTTATCCAAACAGTAGGTCATAGTGTCATGACTCCCTGTAGAATACAAAAATAGATGTACAGAAAATCTCATTTCTTAACTACTCAAGACCACATTCCATGGTTATATTGTGTGTGTATACATGATACACCACCCCATTTGTAAATCACACACTTATATTGTCTGACAGCCTATGTAGTTATGGCAAAAAGGTGGGGTCTTTTACAGAGGTTGCTCACCTGACATTAATAAGCTTAGTGTGAAATCCTTGTGAAGGCATCAAGACTTTCCAAGAAAATAGTCCCCATCTAAACTACACATCATTGTTTGCCCAAAACCACAATAAAATGGCCTGTTTCAAATAGCATCTTTCACTGAAATAATAATCTTGATGTGAAAACCCACTTCTATTTTTTTTCAGGGAATAGCTGAAGGCTGAATTTATCTAGAATTTGTCCTGTTTTCAGAGCTGTCCAAATGCAGGATTTCATTCTCCAATCCCATCATCTCTGCACAGGAAAATATGACTGAAAGCAGAAATTCATCTCCTTACACTTTTGACTGGACCAACTCCTAACTTGGCACTTTAAACATTTATATCTTAAATATCTGGTAAACAAGCCCTCCTGACCTAAACCCTCAATACCCTACAAAACCAACATAAGAGGTGGGTGCTTGAAGGTTTCAGAGGGAAGTTCAAGCATAAGTTTATGCGTGATAAATGAAAAAAAATCCATTTTCTATGCACTTCAAAAATTACCCGACTCTTTCCAGCACAGGGAAGTACACAGGGGCAGCCTAAGCAACAGAGCCAAGTACAGCCTGCCCAAATATTTGATTTCTTTGAAGTCTTAATAAATCTGACACATCTCTTGCATCATATTTAGATGAAACTATTACAACTCACAACTTCTTCAGGAAACCAGTGATTTTGCTAGCTTTTTCTATTCTTTCAGTGTTACAAAGCATCAAAAAGAAAAGCTAACAATTCAGTCAAGTGACTTGTGTGAATCTTTACAGAATGTCTACAAATGCATATTATTTGAGATTTGAAGTCTGGTTTCAAACAAATTGGTTACTGTTGCTAGGAACTGCCTTTTTGAATGGTCTGTCTGACTGGTGCCAACGGCAGTATTTCTAGTAGCCAAAGAAAAAAGGACAAGATTGGTTTTGAATTCTTTTAAACTGTCAAGAATAGTTTAATGTCTTACTCTATTTTTTCACCTTTTAAAATCCATTTTCCATCTATTTTCCTGCTTGAGACACTCAAACCAACCTCATTGCAGATGGAAGACCGATATTGTGGGCATGTAATCAAAAAAGTATGTCTTAGAACAGTAAGAGTCATTAAACACCCATGGACCAAATCCAAGTCTGAGAGAAGTGAGTAGGATTCCATCGATGGGCGTTGCATCCACTGATGCCAACCAGCAAAAGGATAGTAATCTTTTACTTAGGATTCTTCTTGTGATGTCAGTGAGTTACAGTAATGAAAGGAAGATGGATATATCCATGACACAACAAATATGATGCAAAGATAGTGAGCTAGCACCAAGCCAGGTAGCTTCAGAGCTTGAATCAACACCTCCCCAGAGGAACTGTGCTGGATCTGGTGCAAGCACAACACTAATTACTGAGATTTGCCTCTGCCTCCTCATCATGCTTTCAGAATGCACTCTGTCACATTCATGTTTCTTGCATGACTTCTGTGACATAAACTTCCACTTCCAAAGCGTGTTTCCCCCAGTTATTGCTCCCTTCAAAAACCTGCCAGAGCTGTCTTGACCTGGTTGGTCTTGACCTGTTTTTGTTCTGACTTGGGCTAGATCAGTTTTGTAGGTCAGCTGGACAGCCACTAAAATATTCCAAGCTAATAGCCTTCAGTGCTCTGTAAAAGTCCTCCAATGTTTGCTGCAATGGGCTTGCCTTCAACTATTCTTTTCTTCGTGCCTGTTCTCCCTGCAGGCATACTCACAAGAACAACAAACATTTGCAAGAATAACAAGGTCACCATTAGGAGGAGAGCCAGAAAGTCAAAAGCACACATCAGCAGGTTCTCCACTTTCTACAATGTCCAAGAAACACCACCGTGAAAGCCTTTTAGAAACAACATGATTCCTTCTCCCCAAAAACAAAACCCCACCAAGCATGCTACTGACTGTTTGAAGGATTTTTGCAAGATGAACAAAAAGAAAAACAGAAAATAGGAGGTTAATACTTTCTTTCTTCTTTCCAAAGACAGATACATATTTTCTTCTTTTGATGGTTAAATAAGAAATTCTAGGGTTTTTTTAATAACATCTATCCTGGGTCCCGTTATATAGGCTTTATCCTAAACAGAGGTGTGCTTATTCTCACATTCTGTAGCTAACATTAACTCAAATTACATATCTAAGAAGTCACCTTGAGATAAGTTTATAGGTTTAAATTTTAATGGAAACAAACCCAAAACACTACAGTTTTGGAGTCCTCCCAGGGCTCCACTCACTGAAGACTAGACTTCACACTGTTTCTCAATATATGTCTTTCCTAAAATTAACCTATGATTCTGTAGCCTACACAAAACATTAATCTACACACTGTGCTGCTTTCTGCCCAAACTACCTGTCACATCTACAGATACGAGAGAAAACATGGGCTAGACATTTCTTTTGTACCATTTTTGATGTGGAGGCACAGGGAGAGCTCACAGCCCTCCAGTGCCTCCCCATGTTCCCAAGTTACTGTTATACTGTAACTTCTTTGACAGAACGAGGGGGAAAAAATATCAAGGTAGCAGGAAGAAGCAACATTATGACCAAAGAAAAGCTAATGATACACAGGTGTCACTTAGCTGCATCTACCCCTGGTAGGATAAATGCAGTTTTTGCAAGCAGGATCATGTAGCCCAGTCTACATAAATAAAAACATGTTAATTAAAAGTCTCAATTCTCCTTTTTCCATACCTCCACAGCCTCTTTTAAACAGTACAAAGAAACAAATAATAAGGTAAAATGTTATTTCTCTCCTTTTGGAACCATTTCATTATACAGGAAGTGGCAAGAATTAATTAGGAAAATTTCATCATTGCCCAGATAAGCAAATGCTTCGATTATTAATACTGATCTGGCAAGATGATGCAGAGGGATTGAAAAAAAGTGCCTCTTTTTTTCCTTTTTTCCCTCTTCTCTCTGAGAAACCCCAAACATTAACAGACCAAAATTATTCACACAGGCCCTTCCCCAAGCCCTTCTCCCACACGTTGACCCAAATTGTAAACACAGCCATCATAAAATGGGACAAACAGGATATTCCAATGCTTAAATGACAAGCTAACAAAACAGTGGAGAGTAAAAGTTAATCTTTACCTGGAAGAGCTAAGTTGTAGAGGGGAATATCCCAGAGCTCCTCTGGTAATCGCGACATCCATTGGCCATTTTCACGGCACATGTGAATGAAGGTCTGCAAAGGCATTTTGCATTAGTGCCTGCTCTGGGACTTCATAGGGTTTTCTGGGAAAAGAAAAACAAACCATTCTGTATACTGTGCTTGAATTAATGACATTTCCCCTGTGCAGAATGGATTTATAGATGCAATAAAATGTCAACTTTTCTCTCAGGTAGTTGCAGCAAAACATCAAGAGTTTCTCAGCCACAACGTAGGCTTCTTTTGATGACATTGTCTCTCACACAATCCCAAGGGACGGCTCCATCTTCAGGTTTGTAAACTTACCAAGTGAAAAAAAAAAACAGAGCCAAGACAAATATATGCAGTTTCATTGGTATGAAGAAATTACTGTCTACACTAGCTATTGTGAAATCACAAGGAGTAACCTACCTCCAGAGTGAAACTATGTCCATTCCTTTACCCTTTGCAGTCCCAGGCGCATGGCAAGGGCACTGATGGCAGGGCTGGGACAGGAGCTGGGTCTGCTGCCCTCAGGTCCCTGGAGAATACTTACCTTAAAGGATCAAATCGGGTGTCACAACAGTACTGCCATGAAATCCTTTACAAAGATGTTAGGACACTCTATTTGCAGGTCGTGCTAGCTTCTGGGGTCAAAGAGGAAAACCTTCATCTTCTTAGCTCTTGATCTGTTCTTATCACCCCTATGAGTCTATGATCATAAGTACTTCAGTTTGCTCAGATCTTCCTGAAAATTACTCTGGAACTGTTCTTCTTGGATACAGGCCTCTCTGGGATCTTCTGTAAAATTTGCAGTGGTCATGCAGGAGTGCCAGTGGATGAAATCCAGATGAGAAATTATGGCATCACCAGTGCCTACTAGAGTTATTCTGTTCATTTTTCAATTTATGATTTCCTGGATGATGCAGAACATGAAGATAACCTCTCCATGTCTTTTTTTCATTTTTTCTAGGATGTTCCTGAAGTTTAAGTAGTGGTTTGGGGATCAGAGCCTTCCTTCTTCTCACTGCTTTTAAGGCTTTAGCTATTTTTCCACAGCTAGTGTGATGGTTTCTTTTAGATCATGGCATAGCGATTACCTTCATTAATACCACACCTTTCTTTTTAATCCTTTTTAAAAAAGCTGTGCCTGTGAATGATTCCTTCTTGTCTTCTACAGTAATGGCAGTCAGATATGTAATTGTGCAGCTTTTGTACTCTGCAAACACCTTCACTAGTCCTTGATTCCTTTTGCTGCATCTTAGCACATTCATTCAAGATTGCTTCTCCCCAAAGTGTTCTTCAGGTTACTTTGAGGGGGTGGTTGGTTTTTCTGAATATACAGGTGAGCCGTACTGCTTATATGAAGAGCATTTCCTTAAACATGGTGCAATGGATTTTTTTTTTTGGCAGTCACATAGGGTCATCTGAAAAGCAACTTTAGGAATTGCATTCCTAAATTTTATGTCCATACCACATGTAACAGATAAAATCTGCTTTTAGATGTGCCAATGATTTTCCTGCCTAGCCTGCCTTGCTGTGCCTTTGGTGTGACTTTGACTGGGTCTCTCTGAGTACAGTCACCCCAGTTTAGATTAGAATGGGACTATGTGGGATGAAGGAAATACCTGGCACCCCTGGCACAGTGACACACGCTGCACGTGTCCAGTGTGTAATCCGGAATTTTCCTCCTAGTGAAGAGCAGCTGCCTCTGAGGTTATCCATACACACAAGGCCTTTGCATAAGCAGGAACAAAAGTGGTTTAAACCCTCTCTTGCTTCCTTTGTCTCCTTATTTTAAAAAACAGGTATTTGATGGGTCTAGGGCAAAGTCAAGTGGAAAAATGCCCATAGATTTATTTTGGGAAAAAAAAAAAGTACAGATCCTTTTTGTCCTGCATAAGCAAATGGTCTCTATATGGCACATCTGCTAGTCTTATTCTTGGAAAGACATTCAGATCTCAGGCAGGTCAACTCATCCATGGCTCTGTGATTTAACATGATGAACTGCCTCCTGCAGACCCCTTGTTCAGACAACATATGTCTGCAGCTAATTTTGCCACCTTTTGCTGTGTTTCATACTTTCTCAGACTGCGCACCACTGCCCACCCATGGCTGGGTCTAGTCTCCCACTCTAGTCTCTGTATCACGTAGCATCAGCGTCGGCAGGGGCTTCAGGTGCTTAAAACGGCATTGGTGTTCAGCAGTTGCAAATGACTGGATGGTGTCTATCCTTCTCCAGCTCTGAAGCTGACAGGAGCTGTGAGGCTGCAACACTCCAGCATATGGCAGTACTTATGCAAGTTCTGAATGCCGACTAGAAACTTAACTATAAGCTCTGGTTCTCCTCTCTTGCTTGTGATCTGCAGCCCCCTTTCCAAAGACTTTGGGACTGCCTAATTCTCTAAGGTTCCCCAAGGCCATCCACACCTCCCCAGAGCAGGCACACAGCCCCCCAGGGAGCAGTAAGACCCATAAGCCCCATTTGGCAGTCACACCTTGCCCCAACATAAGCTCTTTTGCACTGACAGTACTCCTAGCACGCGACCGAGGGTGCAGTTTTACATGCTACCATCCTCTCTTCCCATGGTGTGCTCTCACTGTCTTGCTTGGGTTAATGCAGGCACAGTCCCACCGCTAACAGGAAAAGGTGGTTTTCTGTCATGTTAGTCCCTTTCACCAGTTTACCACTGACTCAGGACAGCCCAGCACTGGCCCATGCTGAAGAAGTCCCTGCGGAGGCATTAAGCCTTGCAGTTGGCTTTGACAGGCTGTACAACAGGTCCACTGGCATTGCCCAGCCAAAACCCACAGGCAGCAGGTTCTCAGCCTGACACAAGCTGCCATCAACGCCCAGCCTCAGCAGGACCAGGACACTTCACAAGGAGTGTCCTGCTGGGCCTGGAGAAAGTAAGCAGAGAGCAGAAACATCAAGATCAAGACATGCTGTGGCCCTGCAAACACAGACATGTGAGAGATCAACATCTCATCCTCTCCTTTCTTCGACCTCCTTCCACAGCACCTGAGGCTGGAGATGGCAGCCACCAGCAGTGCAGGAACTGCACCCTGACCATCTGCTAATCAAGTCCTGCACAAAAGTGACTGGACCAGATTTTTGCTTGATCCTCTGCACAGTGCAAAGCTCTAGCTGTTCACACTGTCACCTCTAAACTCAGCTGCTGACTTGTGCTTGACATGTGATATAACCTTTAAGGGTACAGCCAAGGCCTTCCTGGAAGAATGAAACTGCAGCCATCAGCTATTGCCTCTAATGACTAAATCCTAAACTTCACAAAGGAGAACTGTGTCTTTATTCCCTCTTCTAGATAGGCAAGCCACGCTACACATGCTGCTGTGATTAACTACTGTGCTGGGTTTGCATGACAAGGTTTTGGCAGTGGGGGTCTACAGAAGTAGTTTGCAGGAGAAGTTGACAGAAACTTTCCCCACGTCCAGCAGACCCAATGCCAGATGGCTCCAAGGTGGACCCACTGCTAACCAAGAGTAAGTGGTCAGCGTGGTGGTAGTGCCTTTGGGATAACGGATTTAAGAAGGGAAAAACGTTGCTGTGCAACAGCAACCGCAGCCAGAAAGAGAGTGAGAATATGTGAGAAAGGCAAGTCTGCAGATGCCAAGATCAGTGAAGAAGGAAGGGCATGAGGTGCTCCAGGCACCAGAACAGAGATTCACCTTTAGTCTGTGTAAGGCCCCACAGTGGAGCTGGTGAATGCCCAAAGGAGGCTGTGACCCCATGGGAAGCCCATGCTGGGGCAGGCTCCTGGTAGGAACTGTGGTCCAGTGGAGAGAGGACCCCACACTGCAGTAGGTTTGCTGGCAGGACTTGTGACCCTGCAGAAGGGACCCACACTGGAGCTCATGACCATGAAGAACTGCCACTCATGGGAAGGACTAATATTGAAGTTTGCAGGGAAGAGTGTGAGCAGTCCTCCCCCGGATGAGGAAGGAGTGGCAGAGACAATATGTGAACTGTCCCCAGACCCCGTTCCCCGCCCCCCTGCGCCACTGCAGGGGGCAAAGGTAGAGAAAATCAGGAGTGAAGTTGAGCCCAGGGAGAGTGAAGGGGTGGAGGGAAGGTGTTCTAAGATTTGCTTTTTATTTCTCATTACCCTACTCTGATTTGATTGGTAATAAATTCAATAACTTCCCCAAGTCGAGTCTGTTCTGTCTGTTATGATAACTGGGGAGTGATCTCTCCCTGTCCTTATCTCGACCCATGAGCCTTTCCTTATATTCTCTCCCTTGTCTTGCTGAGGAGGGGAGTGATAGAGAGACTGTGGTGGGCACCTGGCTTCCAGCCAGGATCCACCCACTCTAACTACCCTCCCTCCCCTTGTTCAGGCCAGGTTTCTGACCTCCTGGGTGTTCTGCATGCAGGTAGCAATTACGTTTTGAGGACTGTAGCGGGACACATGTAATAAACAAGCAATAAAACATTCAAAGGTGCAAAGCCGCTAGAGATCACCATCCTCCAGCCTCGGGATACCGAGACCATTGGGCTGATTCGCTCTCCCCCTGGCTTTGCCCCGCCGGAGTGTGCCTTGCACGCACAGCCCCGCTGGCCCGGAGCGCTGGGCCACGGCCAAACCCCACGCGTTTCCGGGAGAGACATATAATTAATGAACAATTGACGATGACATCAATAAAACATTTGCTGCAGCCGACCCAGAAGCTAAAAAAACCTCACGGGAATCACAGCAAGCGCTGTGACAAGAGCTATCCGAATAGCCACGGCGAGGAGGGCGCCGCCAGCCCCGCCGGGCACAGGGGTACCACAGGCATCAGGGACACCGCCACCCCCGCCCCGCGCTGCCCTCGCCTCCCGGGCCCTCCGAGGAGCCGGATGCCACCCTCCCCTCTGCTTCGCACTTGTTTTACTCACTCCGAGGGGCGATTCCGTTTCCATCCCGGCTCTCCGGGAAGACGTGCGCTCCCTAGCTCGCCCGGGGCCCCGCACTGCCCGCTCCGGGGCGGGACGGGGCTGCCCCGCCCGGGTCAAGTGACCGCAGGTTTGAGGAAGGTGAAGGAGGGACGGGAGGGATTAGGAAGAGGAGGGGAGGTGGTTCTGGTGAAGTGGCGCTGCCCGAAGCGCAGAGGTGAGCCGCTCAGTGGACTGAAGGGACATGATTCCGGGAGGAGCCTGCGGGCAGGGACAGGCGGGGGAAGCGCCAAGTAGCAGTGTGTGCCATGCTTCTGCTGCATTTGAAATCTATTAATGCAAGAAAGCTTAAAATAAATACTTATAAACATATACATAGATAAAAAGTACCTTAATTTCCTGTTCTGTCCAACAAAGCTTGTCAGGCCCTCATCTGTGGTGAAATTCACTCATGAGGGCACCTCGCAGAAACCTTGGCAAGCTCTTCAAAAAGCTTTTCTGTGTAAGGAGAAAGGAGATAATTGAGTGAATGGCATGTAGAGGCAAACATACAAATCCTCGGTGCAGTTTTGGAAGCAGGGTGCCTTCTCAGCCTTCCCAGAGAGAGAGAGATAGCCTATTTCATCTCCCTTTTCCAAAAACACACTAAAATACAGAGTTCCCTGATTAAAGAATGGCAAGCTGAAACTCCAATGGAAAGAATGGGTAGAGAAGAGCAATTCCCCTTTCTCCACAGGGCAGCATTCCTAGAGGGTCACCTACAATGGAACTGGGGTCTGACTGCTCTGGGATCATGCCGTGTTCAGGACTAATAAAACTTCAGGCTGTTGCAGTGTTGTGCTTCTTCACGCAAGGATGTATTTTCCAGATACGCCTTTTTCACTATCTCATTTTTGCATGAGGCAGAGCAGCATGTATGTACAGAGCAAAACTCGCTGTGTCACCAATAGCAGCCAGATCAGGTTAACGTTCAGCTAACCGAGTGATTCCCACTGATGAGTCCTAGGATGGCAGGGCTGCATGGGCTTCAGAGTGATGCCACAGTTCAGGCTGCTGTTTATATATCAGTTCTTACAGAGTATCACAAAGCTAGGTGGATTAGATGCAAAATAGATGTGCAGCAGTTCATAAAGCTAGGCACGAAAAGGGCAAAATGTCAGAAGGTATGAAGGAGAGCAAAGGAGAAGGTAAGAAAGAAAAGATGCTGTTTGATGGCTGTGTGGTTTTACACCACCATGATAGAAAGCAGATGAGAACAGTTACAGAGAAGTATTACTGTGCTCTTCATGAAATTAAATAAATGGGAAACTATCTCAAACAGAAAAAGCTAGGAGGACAAATCAGACAAAATCAACTTTAATTATTTGTTTACTTAGGAAGTTAAGACTATGGAGGTGTGATAAAAAGCAGTCAGCCAGCCTCTGGATACTGCCACGGTGAAAAAGTACAGCCAGAGATGGTTCTGGTCTTGTGAAACAAACCTGTGTGAAGTTGTTGGGACTAATGGGCAAAACATGGAAAGAAAAAATTAAAATCTATTTTGGTGTGGATTTGAAATGAGTAACAGAGAACTCAAAAGGAACCCTGAAACTGAAATCCCATGTTTTATTCTGTACAACAGGACTTTACTCCCTAGTAATGTGAAAAGTCTGCTGAATGATGTGATCTTGCAGGTCTTACCTCAACAGAAATACCCTATCAGGAAATCTCAAGCCCTGTCCAAACCCTTCTAATACCCAGCCTTTCAAATCTGAGTTTGGGTCTCATTTCTTCTTTGTTTGCACTGGAATTACTAGAGATCCCAAGAGAGTTGCTCTTAGTTTAGTTCTGTGATCACAATCTCTCAGGAGGGATTTAGGAAGCCCATAAACCAAGGAATGACATGAAATTAATGATTAAAGGAAATAAATTATTAAAGCCCTGGATAAGCATGTCTCCTGAGAAGCAGTCAAGGCGAGGATAACCTTTTCCAGTATTTGCAGAAATACTAATAAACAGCTTTCAAGATGAGGAAGCAGGGACATGAAAAAGCCCGAGATTTACCCTCCTCACAAAATAAATGTCTACATTAAAAAGGCAGAGTGGAGTTCAAAAGACAAAGAAGGAAGAGCTTACCCAAAAGGAGCTTATCAGGTTTTGAAGCATTCAGTACTGAAGAGGTTTGAGGCTGGTAGCAACTGAGAGAGACCAAGTAGGCAGATACAGAAGCCTCAGTGTGGGCATTGATGGAAAAGCAGGTCTGATTTATAGCTGTGGATCAGAGTGAAATTTCTGGTTTGTTAGTCACAGTGACAGCAGTCATAGAGCCTTAAACTGGACTTTATACATTTAAACACTTTGGCATACCAAAACACAATGCTCTCAGTATGAGAGAATCAACTCATTTCCAGATGACGTAGAGGTTTATGAGAATTTTTGAAAATTTACAATTATTTTGGATGTTGCATGAGATTTCTGTGTTCCATCCCAGTATTTTATTTTTTAATATGGTGCACCTTTAGTCTATGCTGTAATGTACAGAAATACCATTAAGCATTTAAACAACCTTAACTAAATTCCCTGGATTTTGGGTGTTTGTTCTGAGGATGTTTGCAACACCCTGGCAATATGTGTGTTTGCTCCTGCCCTGACTTACTGATAAGTCCTCTCAACCTTCACCTAATTTCTGTCTTTGGGAACAAGCAGGCAGCTCAGTCTCTGAGAGGAGGTTGTATACCTGGTGGTAGCAGCCACAATGGCTCCTAAGGGTGGGGGAATTTTTAAGGAGGTAGCCTGCAGCACCAACGAGGTCACTCTGGCCAATAAAAAGACCTGGGAAGAAAAATGCAGCCTAGACCTGCTGGTAGCTTGAAACTGGTTCCCTGTGTTTGGTTCTAGAGTTATGAGACCAATACTCCAAGCTTACAATGCTGTGAGCAGGATGCAATGAGGATGGGGAGGCACACTCAGGAGCCCTCCTTTGCACCTGGTCCTTGTGCTTGGGGCTGCCTGTCAGCAAGGTGCTTCTGGCAACCTGGCACCTGCTGGCAGGAAACCTGAGGCAGAAGGATTTAGGTGGGGTTTAGGTTACCCAAACACACTGCAGTGTGCCAATGCCATCATGAAGAAACAGCCCTGGCTTTATTTGCAACAAGCAAGTTCAGTGATAAAATTCAGTAGCAAGTAAAAATGCTACTGTGATGGTTAGACATGGGGTACAGTAACGCTGAGAAGAAAAAATAGAGTTTTAGTAGCAAAAATTTTAATTGAAATTTTTGACAAAGAAAAACATGGGGGAAAAAAAGTCCTCAAATTTCTCCAAATTGATCCAGTCAATGTACGTGAGACCTCAGTGAAAGTAGATCAAGGTGCAGGCAAAACAATTTACCTCTCAAATAGAAGCAAATCAGATTTTAATTTCAACTTAGCTACACCAGAAGGCTTAAAATGCCCTAAAATACATTTGGTAAAGCAAACTTACTTCATGTCTGGTACTAGCAGTGTTTAAAACAAGACATGAAAAGCCCAGACACAGGAGAGCTGCTCATAATGTCCTACTTGGAAGAGAAACTTAAAGGGGAGATAAAACTCTCTCCTCAGACACAGTATCTGAGAAGATATGAGCAAAGAGAGAACTGGGCTTTGTTGCTAGAACCCAATAGAGAGAGACAAGCTGGGGAAACACAAAAAAATGTAAGCATTCCTGTCCACTAGAAACTTACAGGGAGAAAGAAAACCTCCTCCTCCTCCTCTCATTCCTCCCTTTGCCCTGTTAATTTGTTATCTAGCCCTTCAAAATTGTGCAAACAAGGTAAATTCCTGAGCTGTTTTCTCACAGCACTCCCCATTTTGCATGAATCTCTGTCCTTTTTTCCTAACTGGAACAGGTCAAAAACAAAGCCCTCTACTCTGATGTCCAGATCCCCAGAGAAGCATAAGTGACTCTAGACCAACTTTCATCCACAAAGGCAGCTCTTAGATCAGCTTGAGAGGCAGCAGCCTGGGTAGGACAAGGTTGAAGCATTACCCTGCAAAAGGCAGGACCATCAAGAAACCATGCCCTGTCCATGTCTTTGCCGTGTGCAGCTTCTAACTCGTTAGCAGACCATGGGGAGGAGGAGGAAGGACTCTTTATGCTTAAATTCATCACTATGGTACAGGTGAGGAAGTGAGTCTTGTGTCCTTCAGCAGCCATAAACAGCATCCCACCTTCTTTCCACTGTCTACTGTGAAAATTAGGCATCTGTGTCCTCAGGGACAAATTTCCAGCACCTTTGACTCCAGGCAAAGTTCAGAGCTAACAGTGTCTGCATCTTTAGGCCATCCAGACTTTAACTTCTGTGGTTCTTATGTCAGTTAAGTCTTGATGTCTTTAGGCTCATAATCAATCGTTGAGGAATAACTGAGTATTCTTCTCAAGCCGATGAGTTCTTTTTCCCCCATCCATTACTGATTTGTACTGTCAACCATAACCATAACCTGCCATGGAGCAAGACCTTTTAGAGGCCACACTTCAGCACAAAGCACAAGTCGATACAGGTCAGATAAACTGGGTCCTTGGTGCAGAGCCAGTTCTATTCCATGCCCTCCCAAACTGTGTCTGTTGTAGTTTCATAGACTTGGTGCTTTTTTTTGGTCTTTGTGTGCATTTCATATCTACTGGGGCCCTATAGCAAAAGCATCTGAGGATGGACGTCTTGGGCAGTGCAGGCATAATCTGTGGTGACCTGCAGTAAAGGTTCATCTTCCAACAGACCTTCATACTACAAACAGTACAAGTCATCCATGGCAGAGAAGATACGGTTGGTAGCAGCTGAGCTCATGATGTCAGCCTGGGTCAAAATTGCTAATATTAAAGGCTAAGATATACAACAGAAAAATGACGTAAGGTTCCAAAGGGGCCAAATAACCTAAGAAAGTACTTCATCTATCATTCCATTTATTTATTTTATTACAGAGTAACAAAGTACCATAATGACCACACACATTACCGTAGGGCAGTAATTTATAGCATAGTAATTTATAAACTACTTGACATATATTACTGGGCCTTTTCTCTATCCACATGGCCTAAACCCCACTGTCCATTGGTAGCTTGTTTTCCACTGGTACTGCTGTTAGAAATGTGGAGCTGAAAAGTTGCACAGGAGACACAAGGACTGTAGCTACCGGGGTAGCCCCACCCTTGCACACTCAGCTCTGCTGGAGGCGTATGTAC